TGCCACAAGTCGAGCCTATAGTGACATCTTCACGATCACCCTCGTTACGTGCCGATCGATTGGTAAGTTCTGTATCACCCCGATAAACGATTTAATAGCTAATGTTTGTAGGTATCGGTGCCTATCTTGTCCGCCTTGGCCAACGTGCCGTTCAGATTGAAGGTCAACCGATTATCCTTACGGGCGCCGGCGCCTTGAACAACCTGCTTGGACGTGAAGTCTATACTTCTAACCTACAACTTGGTGGCACTCAAATCATGTATCGCAACGGTGTTTCACACATGACTGCGAACGACGACTTTGCCGGTGTGTCAAAGATCGTTGAGTGGCTGTCGTTTGTTCCTGCCCAACGGAACCTTCCAGTCCCTATCACCCCTAGCATTGACACTTGGGATCGTGAAATTGTCTACACACCGCCTAACAAGCAGCCTCACGACGTGAGGTGGCTTATTGGCGGTAAGGAGGATGAGGATGGCTTCCAGCCCGGTCTTTTCGACAAGGACTCTTTCGTAGAGGCTCTCGGTGGCTGGGCTCGCACTGTCGTTGTTGGACGTGCCCGTCTTGGCGGCATCCCCATGGGTGTCATCGCCGTTGAGACACGGACCGTGGAGAACATCACCCCTGCGGACCCCGCGAACCCCGACTCCGTAGAGCAGATTACCAACGAAGCTGGCGGGGTCTGGTACCCTAACTCGGCCTTCAAGACAGCTCAGGCCATTAACGACTTCAACCACGGTGAGCAGCTGCCGCTCATGATCCTCGCTAACTGGAGAGGTTTCTCTGGTGGACAGCGAGACATGTACAACGAGGTCTTGAAGTATGGATCGTACATTGTTGATGCCCTTGTCAAATATGAACAACCCATCTTTGTGTACATTCCTCCTTTTGGTGAGTTGCGTGGTGGCTCTTGGGTCGTTGTTGATCCCACTATTAACCCCGTCGCCATGGAAATGTATGCTGATGTCGAGGCTCGTGGTGGTGTGCTCGAACCTGAGGGTATTATTGGCATTAAGTACAAGAAGGATAAGCAGCTTGAAACGATGGCTCGTCTTGACCCGACCTACGCTACACTCAAGAAGCAGGCCGCAGATCAGAGCTTGTCCAAGGCGCAGCTAGAGGATGTTAAGGCGAAGATGACGGTTCGGGAGAAACAGTTGTTGCCTATCTACGCCCAGATCAGCATTCAATATGCCGATCTTCATGATCGTGCTGGTCGCATGAAGGCCAAGGGCACAATCCGCGAAGTGCTCGAATGGAAGAATGCCCGTCGCTTCTTTTACTGGCGTGCACGCAGACGACTGAACGAGGATTACATCCTCAAGCGCATGGCCGCCGCTAGCGGATCTAAGATCACGGACGCCTGCAGCGCTGCCGCTATCGAGTCGAGGCAGAAATATCTGCGCATGCTCGCTGCATGGTCGGGCATTGCCGACTTCGCCCGCAACGATAAAGATGTGGTGACCTGGTACGAGGAGAATGCCAAGACGATCTCTTCCAAGGTGGAGCAGATCAAGGCGGAGGCGGTATCTCAGCAGATGGCTGACTTGATGAGCGGCAACAAGGCTGCTGCTCTGAAGGGTCTTAAGGAGATGTTGCACATGATCCCCGTTGGAGAGAGAGAAGAGATAATGAAGTATTTGAAATAAATGGGTACATGCCTATGAAGGTCGTGGAACACCAGACCCGTGGCATGACAAGAAGCTGGTTTGTAAGATAATCTAACTTGGCGTGGGATTATGCAGGGGGCAAGGTTCATGTTTCTGTTTGGATTGTTGAATCGGCGTATAATGTGGAAAAGTGGAGATTCATTGTCAACATATTAGACATATCTTGGTGTTTTGGAACGAGATAAACAAAATATTCAAGTTAGACTCTGTCTTGAGTCCAGTTGTTTGACAACCACGCTATATCCAATGAGTAGACAAGCTTGTGACCGCTACAGCCTGCACAGTCTATCTATCTATGTTTTGGGCTTTTGTCCGTTGGTTCGTCGTAGGGGGAGTTGATAGGATACTCCAGTGCTATAAGGTATGTTTGCAACTAATCTACACTGATCACATGCACCTAATAAGCTGTTTTTCTTATGACTGCAGTCTCTCATGCTTATGAGGGAAGTCATATCGACTTTTGGACAGGTGTGGCGGTTTTGTAGCTCCGGGTAGCTTCGACAACAAGACTTTAGGTATACTGCAGCCTCTGGGTTCTTCCTCTCCGGAATTATACGACATGAAGAATATGTATAAGATTCTACGGCCTTCTTGAGTAACATTCCCGTTGTTGATGTCTTCGAACAGAGATGGATGTACATGGCATACGCGAGTATGTTGATGCAGTGGCAGAGGAGATGAATGAGAATAACTGGCTGGGCCCGTTATGAGCACTTCCATTGAATATCTTCTTTATCCTACCTAGTTTGGAACGGAGTTAGGAAATTGGCTGTGCATTTCATTCTAGGTACGGAATCTGTTGGTGGGAGAGTTAGACCACGTCAGGTGGTGAGGGCGTGTGCACACACTGAAGGTGGTTGACTTCAACGATTCATGTTTCTCTTACCTGGGTACTTGAGCAGGTACGTAACGACCTAGATGCACATATGGTCCTCTCCAAGCACGAGGTTGTCTTCATTATGAAAGTACGAAGGTACCTACTTATTCTCAAGCTAGCGTTGCTATTGCATCTATTTGAATACTTGGTCACTAACTTATCGAGATCTTCCCCCTCCCATTCATCAGCTCTCTTCTATTCCCTTCATTTCTTCACATCTCGTCTTCACAGCCTCACCTTCCACCTGCAACTACTGCGTCCTAGCCTTCTCGGTTGTTCTTCTCCTTCATCAACTGCACCCGTTGCACCACCCCGAATACCATCTTCTGGGAGTCGTAAGCCGCATCGTGCAACCTGCACAAGAAAATCTTCACATCTTCAATTTTCACCAGGGACCTTCAGGCGTTTCTATCTCTCCGCTGATTCTTGTCTATCAGGTCTTTGACTGTCATTCATGGCCAGGCTCGTGTCGCTGATTCCCTAGGTATATTATCTTCTCTTTCTCGGCATGTAAGTACATATCGCGAAGGCGCTAACTAGCTTTCCTTTGTAGGACAATCTCATATATACTCGACTTATGCCTCTCCGACTCAACGGAAATAATCCTACATATGCAAATGAGAAGAATTATCCGTCATTCGTCGCACTTCGTTCCTCTCCTCTTCGACGCCACTCAATCTTTACATCAGCATGGCGGAAGTTGAACCCGCAAACAAATTGACAATACGTCTCGATGGACCAGACAAACCGGTATGGATTGACACCCTAGCCAAAATCAGCGATTTTATTCGATGCAGTAAGATTGGCATAGACGACCACGACATCAAAGATAGTACAGATCTGCTTCCTGCTCAGTCCCCTCTCGATCTCCAGCCAGTAGTTCTACCAGTAGAGATCATACTCCATATCTTTCAGTACTTAAACGAGCCATGTAAGCTTTTTGGCCAAATCGTCCCTAAAGGAGATGACTCGGACTTAAAGGACGATTGGGACAGGGACAAGCAAATCATATTCAACAGGCCCCGTCTATGGGCAAGCATGCCTACGTTCCAGATATGTCAGGCCACGAGATCAATGGCCATCAAGCGCTATGGAGAACCCATGCTAAACTCTTTGTCGTTTGATCCAAGTGTTGATATCATTAGTCTTCGAGTGGGTAAGTACATCACCTGTCCCTTTAGGCCATAATCTATATCCTGTAGCTATCAAGTCCTACAATGTAGTAGCTAGAGCCTCACTAACGGCTTCAACTATAAAGGAAACCGCGGCGATGCCGAGTTAGAGCTGTTGGATTCTAACACGGATAGCAGTAAATGGGTTTGGGCCAGCCCTATAGTCTACTGTAATGCTAAGCATGTGGCTTACGCAACGGCTCCTCCGAAGCAACTCAAGCACAAATTCCTAGCCAGAATACATGATGTGGAGATAGAAGCTGGAGGAGGCTTTTGCTTTGAAACCGAGGACTGGTACCACACCGCTGAGCTCTTGGTCACGCATTTTACGAATATGCGCCAACTCAAGATCAACCTATGGCAACATGTCGCATGCGGTGGAACACAAGTTTGGTACCATAACGATAGCAGCGTTGGAACAGGGTACTACAATTACCATGACGCTGACTTAGTGTCTGGGATTGTTGACTACATGACTGAGCATGGCCCTCTTTATCCGAGCCTGGAAGTCCTTGAGATTGAGAAGACCAAGGCTTAAATGTTTGACCTAATTTGACGACGTACAGAAGAGGCTAGGAAACAAGAAGATTGAAATCTTCCACGATTTCTGGGAGTATTACGTAGCCAAAAATCACGCACAAATCACCCATAGTTGGGCGATTCTTCACGATAGTCAAGTACATGCAACATTGGCTGAGGGTAGGTTTTAAAGACCTTCTCAAATGCGAATAGGAAGATGCGCAATGAAATCAAAACCATTACACTGATGATTATAAACAAAATGCAAAGATCAATAAATTCCATATACCAGTTTCTTATAGAATTATCCTTGTCGAGGATATGATCGCCTCTGGCCATATTTTATCAGCTACTATGAATATACCTTCTCTTTTCGACGACCCCGACTTACTAATACCCCCTGCGCTGTTGAACTTGCTAAAGAAATACGACCGACCTCCCCTCCAGGGTTAACATCTGCAAGACTCAATCTCGTGTCCTTCAAATCCCTCGCCCATGTTGAGGAAGACCACGTTGACAACCCAGTCATCCCTTCGACCTTGTTATGCAGCAAGGCTACCGAAATTGACCCTAGCACGTCTGGCGTTATCGTCACTAGTCGCAGAATCGCGCCTGCTAGTGCACAGAGGAACATTACGAGGGATGAAAAGACGAGAACGGCGAACCAGGCATGGCTGCAGCGAATCACGTCGTAACGGATGACTGCTGTTCGCACAATCCTATGTCCCCCTTTAACATACTAGCCTTTAAAAGAAGTAAAAAGGGAGGAACGAATGGGAATTGAACCCATGACCGACCGGACTGCAGCCGATTGCTCTACCACTGAGCTACCATTCCGATTGGTTGGATATTGTGAAATACCGAACCGGTCACCATGGATGTTCCGACGGAAAAACGACGCCGTTAAATCCCTCACAGAATTAACGGTATATATAACGTACGTCACAGATGTTTATTACATTCGCTTGTTGTTCGGGGTTTGATGCGTCGAATGCACCGGTGAAGGCTACCGGGCTGATTCCAAGATAAAGCACTGTGTTGAGAATTTGAGCTGAGCGTATTTCAAAGGTTGAATGGTCTGCATCGATGGTAGACCGAGAATTCACTAGGGGCGCAATATGGATTGATAATGTAGGCAACTACGGGTTGCACGCCGCCGGAGAGCTGCGCCTACGGGAAGAGGCCAGTGAGGAGCTGTAGAACGGATTGAGCATCAGCGAAAGAAAACCGATATCGAAGACGGTCCAGTTGCCGTCGATCGTAGTGGTCACAGAGTGATGTACTGCGGACGTATTACAGATACTCCCAGATGAGCTTCTGGAGCACGTCACGCTAGAGTCGACATGAGTCGTGGTAAGGTCGCATTCAGCCCGAAAGTAACTATTATCATCTGAGAGGGATTCAAACACAAGCTTTCGGGCATTGCGAATTTCCGTATTCATTGATCTGGCGAATGAGGTTGATGTGATTCCATAGAGATCATACGGAGAGATGCCTAGCTACCGATGGGAGAGAGACTCCAGAGACCAACAATAAGAATTCGTAGGAAATTCAGCGCACGTAGCTTTATCTATGTCGTGAATACACGCGAGATCGTCTGGCTGCATATGCACTGCTCTACCATCCCAGTGGTAGCTCCTTGTCTAGTTTGGATTCTCTAGGAGACGATACTCTTCATACTGCCGCCAAAGATCGCCGCAAAGAGCAGGGAATAGATTGCGCCTTGAAGACCACATAGTGAGTCGCGTACGCACAAAGACAGACAATAGAAGATTTAAAGACTAAATAATTGTGCAACCTTGTATAGCTTGAGTCCAATAGACCTAGGATCAGCCGAAGATCCGTAATCTCACGAACCCAGAAGGCGAAAACAGCAAACAGGAGTGCGATCGCCGCGACTATTAAATAGAATGTTACATATAAGGTTCTCTTGAGCTAAGAGCTCACCAGGCCTGATATCATATTGGCAACAATGAGAGTTAGCTTTTTGGGCTACTTAATTTTTGACGCTGAAACGGATAACAATCAACTTTCCGGCCACTCCATAAAGCACTGGTACCGCCCCCAATAAACATAGAAAGAAAGTGCGCTGTGTTGAATAACCCGATAGAAAAACCCATTGCTTAGCACCCAACCGAAAGAACTCTCTCGTACACTCACGCTGGGTCGACGTCCTCTGGTTCGTCTTCTGGTTCCTCCTGCTCTTCTGGCTCTTCCTGCTTATTTACCCATTCCCACTCTAGATCGAATATTACCTTCGCTGCATCCCAACTTTTATCGTAGTCCACTTCCAACCCAAAACCGTTCGGCCACTGTAGGATATTTGTGGTGAATGCCTCTTCTAGAATGTACTGTAGGTTGCTAGAGTTTTCAAGATCGTCCAGATCGCCCCTTGCTACTGCTTCCACTAAACCGGCTTCAGTCAGTAGAGGAATATGTCGCGCAAGAAAGATTCAAGGATAGGTAGTCGCGATTAATGGAAAAGTGGCACGTATGGAGAAAAAAATGTCGACTTACTCATCCATCTGGCTACGTGTCGCAGAGCTGTCATGTCTGGCTTCTCCTCCATAATGGTGAAAGCCTCGAGCCAATTCATGAAAAGGTCGAGAAAAGTAGCCCACTTGTCGACGATCTCGTGTTTTCGATGGTTCGGCTCTTCCGGATACCGTATAATCGTCTCCAGCTCTCTCCTTTTTATATCGTCCGCTAGTCTGACGTAGAGGACATCGTCGCGGGTCCAGCCGATCTTCCGGAGCAACCTGCGCTCCTAGCCTCGCTCGTCTCGCCTCTGGCCGATCGACTTTGCCAATTTTCTGCGGAACCCGCGGCATTCGGGACAGAGGGTCGTCGCTGCGCCGGTGGAGCTGAAGAGAGCTTCGTATGTCGGCTGGCAAGACTCGCCCCTGACCTTGGCGGCACATTTGACGATCATGACTGGGATTGGGGTGCCATCTTTATCCTCGTGCTTGCACAGGGTGTGTGCCTTGTAGCGCCGAGTACACATGATGGTTGAGAGAGAGGACGGGGAGCGCGGGGAGAGAGGTCGTATGGGTCCGATGGAGAAGAGGGCTAGAAGGATGCAGTAATGATAGTGCAAGCTATACCAATATGAATAGCTATGCTCTAGTAGCCGGGGACCATGCTGAGTTTTCTTCATGATCCTTTGGTTTTTTTTTGGGGGGGGGGGGGGGGGGTGGGTTCACAGACTAAATGCTGAGAAGCATGGAGAAGGTAGGAGGGGCACACGTAGCTCGCCTTGCATTATAAACACGGAAAGCTTGAGCGATTGAAACAGACAAAGAAGGGGTCATGATTTCCCTACGGGCATGATTATGTCTAAGCAAGATCGAATAGCTGGACGAGAATAGGGGAAACTAAACTAAATCGAGCTATACGCCGTTACAACGAGGCATACTGGTATAAGTGCTCGATATTAAATCAATACGTTGTATTGAACGCCGGGATAGGAAACTCGTTACATACCACTCCTCCCTTCCTCTCCTCCATAATGTGACGTTCACTCCCATCATAGGAGGCTGTTCATTGCCTTCTTCCAATTATCATCGATTCTCGTTCGAAACGGCGTCCAGTTTGTGTCTCGGGAATTGTTTTCAGTCCCAAAGTCCTGCGGCCATTCTTCGATCCAGGGGATGAATGTCCTCTCGAATACAGCAACAATCGTTTCAGGGGGCATAGGGTCATCCACCCGACGGTCTTTCGCTAGATTTTCCACTAAAATGACCCTAGTTAGTAAAAAGATATGTTTCAGGAAACGTTCAAAAGACGAAGTACTGGAAAAATGCGTAGGAAAGAGAGAGCTGGCCTACTCATCCATTTGACCGTAAATGGGAGAACTTCCTTGTTTTTGACTTTGTCCATCTTATACAACAGCCATGTCTTGAATGAATTAAAAAAGCTGGTGAGGTTGATGATTCTCTCCTGGAATTTATGGTCCCGGCCTTTCCACCACACCGAGTTCATCTGCTTGTCTACCATTGCGACCACGGCAGTTGATAACCAGACATATTGGTACGTGTTTTTCTTCCAGCCTATGACCCGAAACAACTGGCACGAGCTGGACCTATCCCAGTCTTCACCTATGCCGATCGAATTTTTCAACTCCTTCATGGCCTTTCCACATCTGGAGCAGAGGGCCTGCGCTCCACGATTGGCACTGAACCAAGGTCGGTACTCCACCTGGCACGCCTGGCCCGCTTCCTTCTGGTCACACTTCCAGAACGTGTACGGTCTCGGCGTCCCGTTGCCGTCCTCGTGCTTGCACGAGGCGTGCGCAGGGTATAGTTGAAGGCACATGATGGCTGAGAGAAAGGGGCTCGGAGAGAGGCCGTATGTGTAGATACTGCGATGGGCCCTTTCGAGCAGGCGGCTTGAGAGATGATGTAATGCTTGAAGAAAGGGGCTTGAAGAGATAGAGATTGTATGTATATATACTGAAATAGGTTCTCTGGAGAAGGCGGCTTTGAAGGATACTGTGATGATAGGACAAGCTATGATGGTCATACGGTGGTTCTGGGATAGAACTTTATGCACGAATGGCCAGGGGCCGTGCTGAGTCTTCTTCATGATGTTGGCTGTTGGAATTGTTGGTCATCTGCTGTGGCGGTTCTTGGATGATGCTGAAAGCGTCGTGAATGTAGCACAGCTCGCGAATGTTGGCAGCACGGAAATCCTGAGCGATTGAGCAGACAAAGAGAGGGCCTAGTTTGTCCTACCCATATGACGATGTCTATGCGAGACTGATTAATTAGTACCACGGGAATCGATACGAACGGAAAGACGGATAACCAACACGGACCAAACCGCGTACTGTTCGAACGAGGCATAATGGCATGGGACCTCGATATTAAGTCGATGCGTCGCTTTCTTTGTGAGCAGATGCGACTCGTGCCACCTTTAGATAGCGCAATCTTTCCACGTGCCTGGCGGAATTTTGTGTTACCAACTGGAAACAGAGGAGTCCCTTCAGGGGCTACCATGTTTGCTGTTGCCCTGATAGTCACGTGGGTATATAAGGGGGAAGCACTACACGAATTGCATATTATCGAACTGTTTCAAGTTTGAGATCGTGAACTGAAGTATTAAGATATGCCGGAAACCCCACTACTTGAGAAAAAATCACTATTGCCTTCGAAACGACTAAAGGTGTGTAAATGAACCATGGTACGTTAAACACCTAACCCAGGCATGGGAGTATCCGAACAAACCACCCAACTATCACCCGGGCCCTGACTCAGTGCGTCATTCCTATCCCCTCTCCTAGAAGTAGGTAGCTTTTGGCTGGCTACTCTATTCCCCCCCTAACACCCGCTTTATTGAATGAGTGTGCGTCGTGCTTGAGCACCCTCATGCTGTTGGTGTCCTGGCTTCCTCTTCAAGCTGCTTCTCCCACAACGCGTCAAACTCGGCTTCCGCCTCCTTTTCCGCTTCGTCTTCCGCGTCCGGAAGATAGTATAGCTCCCCGTGTTTGGTACGCCACAGGTAGTCCGAGTTCTGGAAGGCGTCTTCCAAACCTCGGTGGAAGGTCTCAGGATCCAGATCGTCGAATAACCTTGACTTGTTGGGCTTTTCAGGTGGCCTTTCCACCATCATTCTCTTCACTGCCGTGAAGTAACTCGAGTTAGCGATGGGATACAGAAACAGCAGTCCCAATAGGTGCTGTGCTGCAATCGATGACTTCGACAGAAAAGAATGGATAGTCTGAATTGAGTATAGTCAAGAGATAGATCCAACTTACTTATCCATCCAACAAGATACTGCAAGAGCCTCTTCTGCGTTTCGTCCATGACCTCCACATCACGGTAGTGACGCTGCAAAGC